TCATGTCTCGTTCAGAGATTCGAACTCGGAACCCCATGATCGGACTGTCACGCGCTATCCATTAGACAATAGTACGACCTTATCCCAATTGAAAAATTAACTCTATTAAAGTTAAACAACAATTTTCAAAGTCGATTTTCTCGACTTAGGGGGGGCATTGGCAACAAATTCGAAATAAAGGTGATTAAATAGTCAATATAGAATAGATCTATATACATTTTATGAAAATCGGTGGGTACCACACCGTGACCTCCCCTTGTCAGCGTAATATTACCCCAACATTCGCATTTGTAAATTTTAGACTTTTGTAGTCTAAATCTTCTCATTAAACCCTCGTACTCATATTCCGAGAGAAACTTTTATTATATCATTTTATCCAATAATCACACATTAACTCAATCATCATACAAAACCACAGGGTAACAATTTTATTTATCTATTTGAGTTACTATATTATATAAATATTTTTTTATGCAATTTTTAAATTATTCAAAACAGTAATTCAGTTATTTTAAGTAATTCAATGTATATGGTAATGGATATAATATATCAATTAGCATATACAGAGTGATTCATTAAGGATAAGACACTCGTTTACTCAGTAACTATTGAAAATTTGATATTTTTGGTAAGGATAATTTTGTTTGATTCAAAAAACATTACAATAATATGTAGTAAAAACATGATATTTTTTATCCCTTCAAGGTTAAAAAACATTAACTTGTGTTTTTTTAAATGAGAACATATATTTTGAATTTAATAAAATGTTTGAGTTTTTAATTAATAGCAAATGGCATATGAATTTTTAATATAATTTTATTCGTTTATTAGATATAAACATTTAAAGTTTCAAAGCTTTGAGTTAATATACATATACAGGGTGTTCAGTAAGTCAGGAAACGGGTTTCTATTGCTCTCATTGTTTGTAATAATGAGAACAATAGATACCCGTTTCCTGACTTACTGAACACCCTGTATAATACACTAGGTATTACAGGTAGATAATTGGTTTTTTATAACATTGCTGTCACAATCACAGATTGTTTATTATCAATTATGATTATCAATAGATATACATTCTGTATTGTCAGTTAGTGTATTTATAAACTCACAACAATTTGCCTTACCACCATTGATAATAACAATGCTGTGTACCTGCTAATATCGATGTCATAAAAAACCAATTAGCTATCTGTATTTGTAATCCCTTGGGTATTATACATGTATATTAACTCAAAAATTTGAAACTTTAAATGTTTATATCTAATAAACAAATAAAGTTATAATAAAAATTCAAATGCCATTTACTGTTAAATTGAAAACTCAAACATTTTATTAAATTTAAAATTTATGTTCTCATTTAAAAAAACACAAGTTAATGTTTTTTAACCTTGAAGGGATAAAAAATATCATGTTTTTACTACAACTACATCATGTTTTGTAGTGTTTTTTGAATCAAACAATATTTTCCTTACCAAAAATTTCAAATTTTCAATAGTTACTGAGTAAACGAGTGCCTTATTCTTAATGAATCACCCTGTATATTGAATTAGTTGTTATATTATAACAGTAATTCAGAAAAATTAAAAAAAAAAAAAATTATTCGTATGTAAATAAGTAATTTGAATATAACTTAAAATACCTTCTTAGGTATAAAAAAAAGTTTACTAAATAATAAATCATAAAAATATATAATATATAAAATGAATAATTACCATAAAGAATTTTATTAAATAATTATTATTTTAAGAAAAATCGAGTGGCTAATTTTAAAAGAATCACTTTGTTTACATCAATTTACAATATTTTGTAATTTCTTCATAAAAATTACAATACTATATTATTAAATATCATTATTATGAATGTATAATACTTATAAATCATTAATCATAAAATCGAGATTATACTAAGCAATAGAAGTTAATTAATAATTTAATAATTCCTTCCAAAAGTTGAATAATACAGTTTTGCATCAAAGCATTTTTCATGAAAGTAAATATAATTACTTTCAAATATTTTCTATACTTGTCCTAACTATGTCACATTTCTACTGTAATGCGACATTACTGTACTGGGTTTTTTTAATAATAACAAATCCATATTTAATATTTAAAGTTAGTAAAAAAAGAGTGTATGAATAAATTATGAAGTATACATAATGATGAAAAATATCATAATTAGAGTTTCACCTAAAATGAATGACTTATAATATTAATATAAATTAAAAATTTTAAAAATGTTAATATTAATAAACAAATGTGTTCATGTAGCGATTCAATATGGATTATCGGATGACATTATAATAAGCTTATTTGAAGAAGGGACGATAAGAATAGCTGTAGAAAATGGAAACTTGGAATTATTAAAGAATGCTCATGAAAATGGAATTGACTGGGATGAAGATACGACTATTGTAGCTGCTGCAAAAGGAAATTTGGAATGTTTAAAATATGCTCATGAAAATAAATGCCCCTGGAATGAAAGAACGACAGAAGCAGCTGCTAAATATGGTAAATTAGAATGTTTAAAATTTGCTCATGAAAATAAATGTCCCTGGGATGAAAGAACGACAGAAGCAGCTGCTAAATATGGTAAATTAGAATGTTTAAAGTATGCTCATGAAAATGGATGCCCATGGAAACAATCAAAAATTACAATAAATGCTGCAAAAAAGGGTTATCTAGAAATTTTAAAATATGCAATAGAAAATGGTTTTTCGATGAATATAGATATAGCTATTGCAGCTGCCTTAAGTGGTAAAATAAATGTATTAAAATATGCACATAAAAATGGATGTCCGTGGGATGAAAGGATAACAGAAGTAGCAGCTTTTTATGGTAAATTAGAATGTTTGAAATATGCTCATGAAAATAAATGTCCGTGGAGTGAAAGAACAACAGAAGCAGCTGCTTCTAATGGTAAATTAGAATGTTTAAAATATGCTCATAAAAATAAATGTCCGTGGAGTGAAAGGACATCAGAAGCAGCTGCCTCTAATGGACAATTAGAATGTTTAAAGTACGTTTATGAAAATAAATGTCCCTGGAATGAAAGTACGACAGAAGCAGCAGCTAAATATGGTAAATTAGAATGTTTAAAGTATGCTCGTGAAAATGGATGTCCATGGAATCAATTAAAAATTACAATAACTGCTGCAAAAAAGGGTAATCTAGAAATTTTAAAATATGCAATAGAAAATGGTTGTTCGTGGAATATAGTTATAACTATTTCAGCTGCCTTTAGTGGTAATATAAACATTTTAAAATATGCACATATAAATGAATGCCCTTGGAATGAATTAACGACAAAAGCGGCTGCTTCTAATGGTAAATTAGAATGTTTAAAGTATGCTCATGAAAATAAATGTCCGTGGAATGAGAGTACAACAGAAGCAGCTGCCTCTAGTGGCCAATTAGAATGTTTAAAATATGCACATGAAAATAATTGTGTATGGGATGTATTCACAACAATAGCTGCTGCCGCTAAAGGACAATTAGAATGTTTAAAGTACGCTCGTGAAAATAAATGTCCGTGGAATGAGAGTACAACAGAAGCAGCTGCCTCTAGTGGTCAATTAGAATGTTTAAAGTATGCTCATGAAAATGAATGTCCGTGGAATGAGAGCACGACAGAAGCAGCTGCCTTTAATAATCAATTAAAATGTTTAAAATATGCTCATGAAAACAGATGTCCTTGGGATGAAAATACTACAAAAGCAGCTGCTACTAAATGTAATTTGGAAATTTTAAAATATGCACACAAGAATGGATGTCTGTGGGATAAGAGTACAACTAGAGCTGCTGCTGCAAGTGGCTGTTTAGACTGTTTGGTATATGTTCATAATGAAGGATGTAATTGGCATGAAGATACTATAGTTGTAGCAGCTGTGCATGGTAATTTAAATTGTTTAAAATATGCCCGTAACCTTGGATATGATTGGGTTGAAGGTACGATGAGAGGGGCTGCAGCAAATAGTCATTTAGAATGCTTAAAGTATGCCCATGAAAATGGGTGTGAGTGGGACGAAGGCACTACAAGGGAAGCTGCTGCTAGTGGTTGTATTGAATGTTTGATATTTGCACATAAAAACGGATATAAATGGGATGAAGGTACAACGAGTGGAGCTGCTGCAAATGGTCATTTAGATTGCCTAAAATATGTTCATGAAAATGGGTGTGAATGGGATGAAGGCACAACAAGACTTGCTGCTGCAAATGGTGAATTTGAATGCTTAAAATATGCCCATGAAAATAGTTGTCCATGGAGTATAAGAACCATTTATGAAGCTACTCGCAATGATTATACTGATATAACCAACTATGCTGCCGAAAATGGTTGTCCTAATTAATTTCCTGATGTAATATCGTTATTTCTATTATATTCATTTACGTCTGCTATGAATAATTTATTTTTAAAATTAATTGACTTGATCTTTGATGTTTGTATGAAATAGTATTGATTTTTTTTTTGTGGTTTATGGATTTTGCTTGTAACGAAACCAAATTCCGCTCATCTGGGGATTTTTAAGCAAATTACTGAATAAAATTTGATTTTCTAATATACTGTGTCATTCACATATTTAGAAAGTCCTTAAAGTTGTTAAACATCGATTATATACAGCAATGCAAATTTTATTAATATGTAAGTATCACACAGTATCTATGCAACTTTTACTCTACCTTCATTATTTCATTTCCTTAATATTAATTATATACTCAACTCTATCATTTAAGAATATATTAAGTGCTTTATAAATGCTTTACAAACTAGCTACAGCCCTTTCCAGTACAATTGTCTTTGTCTTATTTCTGTATTTATTTATTTCTCTAGCCGGCGCGTACTTGAACTACCTCTCTCACACCCTATCCGGGAGATCCTTGACGCTGGCGGTCACAGTGGGGGCATTATAAGTGTTTTGTAGCTGATCCGTATGCGAAGACTCATCAAAGATTTCCAGGCATTCTGGATCTTTATTGTCTGGCGTGCGTGTAAGCTGGAGAGTGGTGAGAGATCATACACTTTCCACAAGAGCCATCACGGCGTTTATTGTGCGTCGGTCAGTTGAAACGGTGCCAAGCACCTTCTCCAAAACCTCAGCCTGCTCATCGGCCATCCGCAGACCGTCCCTCAAGTACACCTCTCATGATGGAAGAGTTAACTAAATATGTCATCCAAAGATCGTCAAGGTTTGCGTGAAGATTTATACTGTCTCTTTTAAATAAATAAAGTGTTAACGTATTAACAAATAATTGAATTAGATATCACTTTTAAATATACCGATGACAACATAGGGTTGCAGCTAGTTTGATCAAAATAAATGAGATAAAAGAATTCTGAATTCTTTATTGAATTCCAGAAAAGAGACAAAAAAAAAAAGAGTGATCTCTCTTAGAAAATCAGTGCCTTTTTATATTATTTTTAATTAACCCTATCATGGGTTGTTGCCGTCAGCGCTTTTAGTGATTTTCAGTTTATTGTATAAAATTTGAACATGACACGGTACCGTGTTTCCCTCAGCCCCACATCACGTTATCAACCTAAATAAAAGTGTATCGGGATCTGAATCATAAGTGCACGGTGGCTTAGTGGTAAGGTTTGTCTATACGACGCCTTGGGTCGCAGGTTCTAATCCCGTACCGTGCCTCTTTTTTCACATGATTTCCGATACACTTTCTATAACCGGCCGTCAATCCCCGGCGGCCGTGTTAAACATAACTTGATAATTATTTTTAAGATAAGATGCATAGTATACAATAATCAATTCAACATGTATGTACATAAAAAATAGCTAGTGTACAAGTGTATATATTATGACAGGTAAATTATTTATAATTATAAATTATTTATAATTAATTATTTAAGAAGAATCGGAAGCTGTAAGAACTTTTATAGAAATGAATGTTGAAAAAATAAGTGTTAGAGGAAGACCAAAAAAGAGATAGAGGGATGTTATTGAATGCGATATGAGAACAGCTGATGTGGGAGATCGTGTCAAGTGGAAGTTTAGGATAAGGGAGACCGACCCCAAGTAGTTGGGATTAAGGCTAGGAAGAAGAAGAAGTTGTTGCTGTTATAGCTGTCTCCGCTGTTGCCACATCAGCTGTATCCGTAGCAGGCACAGCTGCAGTAGCTGTAATAACATGTATTATATGTATTTATCTGATGGACCTATCCCATTACATGACTTTGACATCATTGGAGAGCAACTAGATTTATAAGGTCGATTACTTTACGTATTCATGTCTAGTATAAACTATTAAGACAGAAACAGAATTTGCTCTTTTTGGAGCTAGCGACACAAGAAAAGAATAAACAGATCGCTGTATTAAATAATTTCAAAGTTTCAAATAAATAGCTTGAAAAATATTGAAATAGTCATAACATTTCGTTTATATCAATTTTTTAGAATCAAAGGAAGTTCATGATTGAGAAGACAAATTAAAATTAAATAATATCACCTAAATTTTTAATAACTTTTGAATTACTGGTCCAAAAGTTGTTATAAACTAGTCATTTTCTTAATTAAATTTTTTCCTCTATTATATATTTTTTTATTTTATTTTATTTTTTTTATTTATTTATTTTGTAATATACAAGACACAACATAATCAAACAGAAAAAAAAAACAAATAAATATTGAGTACACCACAGACGGCAATGAGTACAGAATATAAATACAATATATCCAAATAATTAAATAAGTACAGCATATATAGAAGTTTAAATTATTAACATACAAAATTAATAATTAAAATACATCGCTACAAATAGATTTTAACTTGGTTAAATAGTCATTAAAGAAATCAAAATTTTTAATTAAATTGCAACAATGTAGCATTCTATTGACCGGTGAATAATAACTATAATTCTGACGATATGAGTTAACATAAAATAAATTATTAGATTGGAGATGAAAATTAGGAACATTAAAAGGAATTAGACTTAAAATTTCTGGACAATCTACATTATTATTAAGGAGATTATAAATCCAAAAAACATAATTGCATTTTCTCCTGTAAGCAAGGGAAGTTAAACCAAGAGAGATTCGTATTTCATCGATCGACACATTATAATCCCTAGACTTAAAAGAAATGAAGTGTAAAAAACGTCTTTGTATAGATTCTATTCTATTAATTTCACCTATTTTATATGGACACCAAATAATAGATGCATATTCTAAAATTGATCTTACAAAAGAAATGTACAAGGTTTTGATACACAAAATATTATTGAATTCATTACAATTTCTTCTCAAAAAGCCAAGTGTTCGTGAGGCTTTATTGTAAATATAATCTATATGGTTAGAAAAAGATAAATCGCTGGATAATATAACTCCTAAATCTTTAATACTATAAACATTAAGCAAATTACAACCATCAATCGTATACTGATTAATATTTACATTTTTAGAACGAGTAAATGTTATCTGATGACATTTATTTGTATTAATTACTAATCCATTTTTTACACCATAAACTGAATTTATCTAAATCTGATTGTAATTTACCACAATCATCAATTGATTGAATGGACATAAATAACTTAAGATCATCCGCAAAAAGATTTATTATAGTTGATTTGATGAACGGAAGCCATGTTGATTATTAACTAAAATAGGTTGAAATGTATATGCATGCTTAGGTAGTAATAATTTTTCAAATAACTTTGGTAAGACATTAAGCTTAGATATGGGGCGATAATTAGTTACCTCACTTTTATCACCAGATTTAAAAATAGGATATATAAGGCTAAATTTTCAAAGATCTGGAAATTAAATCAGGTCCAGTTGAAGTGCTATTTTTAAGATGAGAAAAACCTTCATAAATATCTGATAAAGATAAATCACACTTGGAAAAATCAATTTTATCACCTTCGTAATTATCCAAAGACAACGGATCAGTATTATGTGCTGAGAATACTGAACCAAAATATTCACCAAAAATATTAGTAATGTCTCTCATATTATCAAAGCGCGAATTTTCGTAANTTCGTAATTATCCAAAGACAACGGATCAGTATTATGTGCTGAGAATACTGAACCAAAATATTCACCAAAAATATTAGCAATGTCTCTCATATTATCAAAGCGCGAATTCTCGTACTTCATTACATTAGGTAGTCGGTTTACATTTTTACAATTCTTTATATACTTCCAAAAGTATTTAGGATTATTTATTAAACTGTTTTGAACTTTATTTAAATAATCAGAATAGCATTGCTTAGATAAAAGTTTACACGTTGCACGGGTAGATGAAAATTCATTATAGATTGACTGTAATCCATATTTTTTAAATTTTTTATGCAAATATTTTTTTTTGTGTATAAATGACTTTAATTCTTTTGAAAACCATAGTGGGAAAGAAGATTTATAAGAGTAGATTTTAGGCACATTAGCATCTAACACTCTAGAGATTATTTCATAAAACTTACTTTATGCTGAGTTAATTTCATTTAAATTATAAAGACAAGACCAATCTACATCATTTAATAAATTAACTAATAAAGGAAAATTAGCATGGTTAAAGTCATAATACCATGTATTATTCTTATATCTTGAATTATAACTATCATAATTGTATACATTACTAATTAATAATGATGGATGATACCTATCGGGAGAAACTAAATTATTATTAGAACGAGATACCAGAGTTGACTTATTATTAACAAAAACTAAATCTAAAGAATTATTAAAGTCGTTTAACACAGTGTTATTTTGATTTTNTTAACACAGTATTATTTTGATATAAATTTAAAAACGAAAATTTGTTAAAGATTATATTAGCACCTGGTAGATTATGACCAGAATATATAAGACCAGTATCATCACATGAAAATTTTACACCGGGTAAATTGTTATCACCAGCTAATATAAAGTGAGTTATTAGTCATAAAGTAACTGGACAAAGGTCTACTGTTTCCACGTGAGCTTCATACAAATTAGGAGGACTAGAAGGGGGAATATAACAAGTTCCTAAAAGAAATTTATGACTATTCCCTACTCTAACTAATACAAAAATTTGTTCGACATTTATAACTGGTATTGATAATATTTCAGCATTAAAGCGTTTGTGTACACAGATAGCTACACCACCACCTCGATTGTGCGTACTAGTACTCATACACCGGTCATATCTAAATACATTATAGTTATCAAAACCTAGTTCAGAATCAGAAATAGAACCATTTAACCAAGTTTCAGTTAACAAAAAATAATCAACATTAATAATTGGAATACTAGTTTTGAGATTGTGAATTTTAGTTCGCAAACCTCTTAAATTTTGATATAAACCAGTGAAAGTTTTTTTCTTATTAACAACATTTTTTTTTTTACTTTTTATAAAACAATTAAAATACGATAAATTATGATTAGACAAAGAATAAAAATCATGAAATTGATCATTATAACTTACAGAATTATAAAAAGGATTAATTAGTTTTTTGGACATATAGTAGTACACCTTTGACAAATTTTATAATCAAATTTGCTTCGCCTGCTAAACGTTTACGGTTAAGTTCATCTTTCAGATTCCTTATATGAATTATTTGATTGTAAGTTA